ATATCGGAAGACATCGAAAGTATATCAGCGGCATGAAAGGGATCAATGATGCTTACGAGTTGGAACTCTACCAACACACATGGTCCAAGAACGAGATAACAATATTGGATACATAAAATTTTTATGTTAGAGCTTCAAAACTGAAAGGACAGAATTTATTGGTATCGATTGGAATAGGATTGAATACTGTTCCACATATATCCACGCATGCTATAGATGTTGACTGCGATGTCTAATTACCAGGTACTAGACGATACATGTAACTAAATGTTCTTTATGATAGCCTCTTGAGGCCAAGCAAAGCAACAGAAATTACTCTTAAAATATAGCATCGATTCCATGATTCAAAATTACGAACTTAAAGGGAGGTTGCCAGAGTTCTCTGGGCCATTTTTCGCAAAATCTTATCCTAAGCTTACTAAATAATATTAGCTAAGAAGTCGAGAAAAGTGACTGCTCCCTAAACTACTAAAGTAAATCATTATGCTAAACACAACCGTTAACGGAAATAAGAATCTACCAGTGCATCTAGATATTGTTTAAATATCTATAACATTATAGATTCAATGAGCTAATACCATCGTTTAAACTACCGTATATCTAAGAAAGCTACGAACTCCAGTAACAAGTTGCTTCTATCCGTTTTACTGGGTTCGATTTCCTATTCTAATTTTCACGTTATTATATCATCACGGATTAATTAATTGGAAAAGATTAATTCATACTATTCAGTACATTTGGCATGGAATAGGCTATGAAATCATTTTAATTATTGCTGACAATGGCCCACAGATCAGCTAGAATTTGCTTTGGTTCTCTATCTTCTTGTAATCGATCATTGATGGCATCTTTGACAGTACGTAACTAAAATTTAATAAATGTTAATTACATTATTGAACATCAAAAAATATTTGACAGCTTCTTCGTGATGATCTTGGCATTTTGTTCAATTATGCTAGTGCAGCTAGTCATGGACATGTAATATAATAAGTGCTGTATAATTTACGAAGGCAATTTACTGTTGCTTTAACTAAATTATAATGTATGCGTAATACTCAAGGTTGAGTTATTATTATTACTGCTTTCACTAAGTATTTGTTATGAGAAATCAGTTATGTGTAGTTAATACAATATATTGCACTCTTATGTGCTTACTTTCTTGTTCATCGATCTCCAAGATTCAGCTTGCATTATTTTATCTGGTTGTAGTTGGCTCTTGTTTATTTGATCGATTTGCGTTTGGCAGTATGAACTTAATTCATTACATAGCGATGCAATGTCTGAAATATCTACTCTCAGTAATTGACGGTATCGATCTCTGCATATTTCATGGAGATCATTTTTAAATATCGTCGTATTTGAAAATTTGCCTAATAGGGCGGTAATCGGTTCCTAGGTATATAACATTAAATAAGCAATAAGTTATCGCTATTATCGTGACTTTTCTATAAAGGACCGACAAGAGCGTTAATAAATCATGATAGAAATTTAACTGATCCGTAGTGAGGATGATATTTGATTGAACAGAAACGTTATATCTCTGAAATACTCGCCCACTAAAAAATTTTAGTGACTCTAAACTATTTCTTTACAATATTGAGAGGAACTGCAGATTCATGAATCTGTAAATTTCTAATCCTAACTTTATCTGCAAGTAGGCTAAAGATAGTGAGAATTATTTAATAAGCCAATTCTGAAGGTGATGCCATTGGTTAAGGCTTCATTCAGGCAGAAAATTAGAGATATTAGTTTTATAGGTAAACCAAGTACAAATTACTGGTACGATCAAAATAAACTAATAAAAACTTTAATCTTATAGGATTGTTGCATTTTCAAATATCTACCGTCAAATGTACTTTCTTGTACCTTTGGCGGAATAAGAAGAACAACAGCATCGGTATTAACTGATCCATGGACGATATTATTCAGGTGCATAGATTGAATTGCTTGAATAATATTAATAAGAATTTGCAAAAGCTGCTCTGATGTTAGGTGATTGGATTGCAAACGGATGAAATTACTCAATAGCATAATATCATTTGCGTCTGCTGTGTAACATGTCATGCTGCAAAAGAATAGGTCTTTTAAATATACCTGCATGAATACATATGGTATATAACCTATTATAAAACTGAAAACATAAGACCTACAATTCATCCGGAAATAATTTCTTGATACCATCTATTTCGACTCTACATTTACTTCCATCACAGTGCCACCAAAAGCTCAAAATATTTACTAATTTGCAGTCTTCCGATTTGATGTGCGAATAAAATACTATCTCCTTTTCCCATGGCAAACTATCTTTCGCGCTGTAAAATTTTAGCCAACCCAATTTATTCGCTTTGTGATTATGAGGTAATTTGACTTTAATGTAAACCTTGCATCGAAGTTAAATATTTTCATATGAGTTTATATTAAAACTTACTTTACCTAAGTGTTATATACTACTAGTGATAGATAATATTTAGTGTAATAAATAAATGATAGACATATACCTTGTATAAATCTTAGTAAAAAAGTAATGAAATTTCAGAAACTTTTGTCATTTTGTAATTTACAAGAATACCAGACTACCATAATTAAACTGATTATGTGCAAAGAATTATTCATCACTGATTGAACTTCTTTCGAAATACTAGAATAGTTAAATCTAGCATTTATTTCATAAAGAAAGAACTAACCATGCCACATAATTGTCATATGTATTTGTTTCGCTCATTGCTTAAGAGTCATTACCGTGTTTTCGGTCTAGCAATGGTCATTATATGGAGTAACGTAAATGCTACTGATCCAGTTCAGATTATACAATACTTAAAACAAATATTAGACGAATAAAATTTTTGATTGAGTTGAATATTAAAGATTTTAAAATAAATCTTTCTGAAGCCAAGATCATTTATGGTTTTCAATAAGAAATAAGGAATAACTATGTTAGGCAAAATCAAGTGTGTAAGATTTTTGGTTCTGAACGTAAAAAATTTCTCGTCGATCATCCAAAAAGATTACCTTAGATAGATCAGGATTACTGGAGAGCGCGATGACATGTGATGGATGAATTGAGCCGGTATAAATATCTAAAACAGAATTATTTTGTTATCGTTTAACTAAGGAATACACTTCATTGTGAAAGTATGCAAGTTTAATAGCTATACACTGTTTTGTAGTTATTGAGACGTATACTATTGCATAATAGTTTTAAAAATCGTATGTAATAAGGTTTCAGAAGTACATCAATCACCTTACTTGAAAAATAAGCCTTAACTTACTTGCTTGTAGTTACCTACCTTGAGTTGACTCACGAATTGATCGAGAGAATGCTAAACATGAACAGCAATTTAACTTTCCAATAGCCAAATTGATGTAATTGATAAAAGTACTTGTACAGATCGTATAAAGAATTGGATTAATACAAGAATTTAGTGGCAATGATAAAACCGCAATAAAGGGCAATGAATGCGTGTCTAATCCAGAACCAAAACCTCGAATTAATACTGAATATAATGGTAGCCAGCAAATTAAATCCGTTGCTACGATAATAATCATTTTAGCCCGAATAATCTTATCATTCTTTGATAAACATCTATGAGCCTTTTTCCGTGAATTTGCTAGTGTCGATAGAATTGCGACATACATGATTGCAATAAGAATCCAAACGACGAAGGTTAATCCAGCATAACATAATAGCCATGTTAATAAATATGGATTATTAAAATTACCAGGCAAGCATGCACTATTACTAGAATATAGACGATTAATTGATGGTTGATCTATGCTATAAATAATTGGTAATCCAGACAATGTGATTGATGTTATCCAAAAAGTTACTAACGCTAGAATAGTAGTTTACTAGATAAGCGA